CGTTTTGTGAGAACACCTGCCCCATACGCCTTTTTGGTTTTGCTTTTGCTTTGGGGGTCCATCGTGACGGATGCGGCGGCAACAGGGCCGGCTGGCGTCAAAGGCTCTGTGGGCTTGGGCCCCTCCTCTTCGCGAGCCCCCCGGCTGTTTGGCCACGCACAGCTGCCGCCCATGCACCTCGCAGCTGTCAAGTCTGTGGAGGACACGTACCACGGCACCGGCGCCGTCTTGGGTGAGTGTATTTTGGGCGTCTCAGTGCAGGGCCTGGCACCACAACCCGCCGGACGCAGCTGTGCAAATGTGCTTGGGCGGCGTCTGAGGTGCGATTGGGGATCGGGTGCCATAAGGCGCCTGCGTCACGGGCTGGCCTCCTTTTTTTTTTGGGGGAACCTAAAAGTTAAACAGACTACCCGCCCGCACCGCCCCCGCCTCTGGTTGAGGGGAGGCGCACCGCTGGGAGGTCTGCCGTTGCTGCGTGGCACCTTGTGAAGGCCATTCGCGAGGCGCCGGCCTTCCTTGGCGTGCGGGCCAATGCCTCAATGCGTGCAGGTCCAACACTGCGCCTGGGATTGACATTTGCCAACGGCGTTCACCTGAAATTTGACGGCTCTGCTGCGGCGTAGGATTCACTGGAAAAGGTGGAGGGGTTGCTTCCCCTGGTGGGGCTTCGGGGGCCCTTTTAATGACATCACCCAGCACACGCCGGTTGTTGGGGAGGGCTTTACTGGAGCTCAACGTCCCGCAAACCCTCGTCCTCACTGCAGAGGTCGTGCGTAATGATTTCAATTGCGACATGCACGGCGAGAATTGCAATGCGCCGATTTCCATCGGTGTCACAGTCCAACATCTCCGTGTCGGTTAGCCTTGCTGAGTGTGTGCAGCCGCATCGTGACAAATAGCCTGGTCCCGCTATTGGCACAGCTTTTGGGTAAAATGCTCGGACACACACGATGAGCTGTGGGGCTGTTCAAGATTCCCGTGCATGCCTTCCGGATGTTGGGAAAAGTGAGTACTCAACTCCACCCTCAACTCCGCCTTTTGGCGGGCGTGATTGCTGTGGGTGCGCCGCTTATTTTGTCAGCAGCAGCCGCCAGGAGTCTGTTGGCGTTAGCGTCGAAACGTGGTAGCTACACGCGAAGGCGACCCCGTATCAATTGAGGCGTGCACTAGCGGGGGGCGCTGCCTTGATGACTCTGACTGTTCTCGCAGCCTTCGGCTTTTGCTTGGACCAGCGCCACAACTGCGGCCGGTTTGTTTGTTTGGGAGAAGCTTTTCCATTAGTGAGCTTCCCACTCATGGGCTCCACATACACAAAGTAGTGTATTTTGCCGGCGTGTACGTGTTTGCGGTTCCTGTTTTTTTGTTTTCGGCGGTGTGCGTCTTTGCACCACGCTGCCGGTTACTGTTGTAATGCACGCTATTCCCGCAAAAACCCGGCCTGGGGATCTTGGGGCCGATTGGCTGCTTTGGCAAATTCTCGTTCCTCGATTCCTGCGGGGTGCTCCTTGTGGGGTCAGGGCCGCAGCTAGAAGGCGTTGCCTCGGCGGCGGTGCGTGCTGGATTTTACTTTTATTTTTCCCCTGCGGCAACGGCACTTTTCATTTTTATTGGGGGATGACGCGACCACTGTCTGGCGCCGCGACACGCCACTTCGCAAAAAACGCGGCGTCGCAGGAGCCAGTTGCCTGCGGTGTGCCCGAGGCACAACCCAATGGGAGGGCGCGAAGAAGGCACGCGAAGGAATTGGTGGGCCGTGCCGTGGAGTGAGGACGTGCCTTTGCGATGGGCCCACACCGCACATTTGTCTTTGCGTGTGTCAGTCTCTCTGCTGGGTGGTTCCTTGTGCTCGGTGCACCGTGAAAGGGAGTGGCTTCGGCAGCTGTGCCGGAAGACCGTTTGATGACTCTTTGGGAGGGAAGTGTCACAAACATATTTTTCCTCATCCTCGTCTGTGTTTTCATCGCTCGGATCGCTGCGGTGCCTTTTGCTCGCGTCATGGTGTGCAGCTGACGCACTTCTCCTGGCGTGTGTGTTGCTGGCCCATTTCAAATTGAACAGTTTGCACGATGCATGCTCGGCGACAAAGTGGGGACATTTACGGTGCCGGTGCGGCGCTGCTTTGGCCGCTCACTCCGCGGCTGATCTCCGCCGTCTGGCA